ACGACTGAAACTGTAGCTCAATGTACCTGGCCCATGCCACATTAGTGACGGCGTTGCGGTTGATACTTCGCAGGTAGACGGAAAAAGATTTGTCATTGGCCTGGCTGAGGAGAAACTTGCAGGTGCCTTGGTAGTCCATGACCAGTTGGTCGAATGTCCAGCAGTGGGGATCGCCGCTACATGTGCAGTATGTGGGTACTGTGGGTAATTAATTAATTAATAATAATAATTTTAATAATAACAATAATAATAATTATTATTATTAGTTATATACTTAGATAATAATTATATAATAATTTTCTACCAATAATTAGTCTAGTCTAGAAATTATTCTTCAGTAGAATGGTTAGTTTAATTTAATTTACTCACCGACATCGCAATTCTTTCCGTATTTTCCAGGCTTGCACTGACACTTGTAGAGACCTTCACCCGCATCCAGACACTTGCCAGAGTTTTTGCACGGGTTGGGGTTGCACACTGACATGGAGTTATATAAGGAATTGTTTCCAGATTAAAATGTATCACTGAATTTTATTAATAGTTTTATGATAATTAAAATAAATCAAATTTTTTAGCACAAAGTCATCAGAAATTGTTATAATCTTTACTGTTACAATCATCACCAATGTTTGTATCATTTATACCATTTCACCCTTGCCATCATCTTATCACCACCCGACTAACATTTAGGATTTTCGAATTTGAATCCGTCTTTATTAGCCTTCAGCCTGGGATTGTTGAGGAAACCTTGCGTGATCTGAGTCTGCACGATGTTGCTGAAACTGGTTGTAGATACTGTCACAGTGAGCTTAATTTCGAATTGTAGGCCGATATAGACCACGATGCTACCTGGCCTGAATGTATTTATAATTTCGCATCATTCATTTTGTTCTGTATAAATGTGTATGAAAATCATCGCGTGCCATATTGCTGAACCAGTGGATGATAGCATGGCATACTGAGGCGGAAACATATTTGAAGCTTTTCTCAAGGCATAAAATTTCAAAATCTTTTATGGTTAAGGTAGTAAATTTAGTAACACAAGTTAAATGAAAATTTTACTAAATAACCAGAATCGCTTAAGTCAAATTTGACGAGATTAACACATTTTATGTAAAGTACAATTTAATTTTTTTAAATGAGATACAGACCACGAGACGTTTGAAAAAACTTTTCAATATTTCAAGATTCAAGTCAAGCTGTTATGTCCTACCATTATGACTAATAAACTTATATCAGTTCAACATACGTTACCTTTTTTTTAATTCCAAATGGAGTATACAATGAATTAAAATAAACTCTGTTTGAATGAACGGAAGAAAAGGTCTTTAGTGGTTGAAATGAGTTGACTAAAATGGAATTAATCAAAATTGAACTATTCATATCGTACTAAAATCACTGAAGTTAAATTTGACAAGAACAGCACATTTTATATAAGGTATGAAATGTTTTCATATAAGACCAGCAATTATGTTATGTTGTAATAATCATCAGTAATTAGGTAAAGGTCAGTGATTATTTAATAGTCAGTAGGTATAAAATATCGGCTAACCCAAAAGTGATGTTGTCGCAATTCACACTGTCCACTAGGTCAGCTGGCACCGAGTTTTTGATCTGCGTGTTGATGATGATGTGAAGTGATTAAGAGATGAAAATGAATGAGAAATTCGTAAAATGCTTTTTAAATTTTTAACTTCAATTTTTAATACCTTTTCGGTGTTATACGCTTTACATTGCAGAATGTTTTGCTCTAAAAAAAACTTTTTTGAATAGGTGATGCTAAAAAGTAAGGAAAATCATCTCACCTCGTTGCACACTTCTTCCTTCAGCTTCTTGTATGCATCTGAATTGGGATCCAGCAGATCATCGGTGAAGTTCTGATCCAGCTTGATCTGTCCGTTTAACGCTGCCACTGTTTGGATTGAGAAAAGATGGCAAGTAACAACTGATGGATTGTAGGAGTAACCGCCAAAGAAAAAGTTCTAATCTTGTTGAGTTATTACAAAAAAGTTTTTGTTATTATTAAGTAATTAAAATGAATTTTTAGAATATTGTTGGGTAATTTAAATGTTTTTTTTTGGTTGTTAGGAAATGGCATCATGTTTGTTAAGCTTAAACAACCAAACAGTGTCGAGGCCAGAACTTATCCGCGATAGGGGCTACGATTTTTGGGGAAAAAAAGTTGACTACTATTTTTGCTTAATCCGCATTTTTTTACGATTTCCATGTCGAAATTTGTACATTTCCCACTCAAATTTAGCAAAATATTGCTTTTTTTTTAAATTGAGATGTTGCGATTATTTAAAAAAAAATAAATTTAAAAAAAATGTACATAGAGGTTTCGTTGAATTTTTAATTAACTTTAACCTCAACAAAAATTTCTGGTATTTTCTGAGGCTTGGTAGTTTTTCTCTCTCTCTCACACACACACACACACACACACACACACACACACACACACACACACACACACACACACACACACACACACACACACACAAACACACACACACACACACTCTCTCTCTCTCTCACACACACACCATACACACACACTCTT